GTAGTGTTTGTTCTTAGAACTGGGACTGTGGTGATGACTCTCTCTTCAGGAAAGACTCTCACATTGAAGGATGTGAAATATGTTCCCTCAATTGTTAAAAAGTCAGTCTCTGGAAGCCTGCCATGTGACGCATGTATGAGGCTAGATTTTCAAGGAGGAAAGGTTATGTTATCTTTTAAGAAAATATGTTTTAAAAATTATTATCGTACTAATGGCATGTATAAGATCAGTACTATTGTACCCAACTCAGTTATAAATAAAATATCCTCTTCTGCTTACTCCTCTATGTTATGGCATTATAGACTGAGACATGTAAATTATAAAAAACTGTCTAGCATGGAGAAGTTAGGATTACTTTTAAAATATGGGGGTAACAAACCTGAGAAGTGTGAAGTCTACACGCAAGCGAAACTGACAAGGAAGCCATTTCCAAGTGTTACAAGGAGCATCATCCTATTGGATCTGATTCACTCATATACTTATGACTTCAAGAGCTTCGTCACTCGAAGTGGCATGAAGTACTTCATCACCTTCATTAATGACCATTCTTACTTCTGCTACACCTACCTGTTGAAATCTAAAGATAAAGCCTTTAGCAAGTTTATCGAGTTTCAGACTCGTGTGGAGAAGCAGCTTGGACTTCAGGTGAAAAGACTCAGGAGCGATAGAGGAGGAGGGTACTGATCTAAGGAGTCAAAAGTATATTTTAAGAAGCATGGAATCATTGCTGAAACTACTACTCCGTATTCTTCACAATCCAATGGGATTGCAGAAAGAAAGAATCGTACATTGACCGAGATAGTGAATTTGATGCTAATCATATTTGATCTACCTACTTGCTATTGGGGAGAGGCTATACTGATGGAAACTAGATTTTGAACATAGTACTCTATTCCAAAACTGAAAGTACTCCTTGTCAATTATGGTTAGAATATCCAGATCCTTTGGATAGTCTCAAAGTGTGGGTGTCTTGCATATTTTCGAGTTCCAGATATCAGAAGGCCTAATCTTGGACCAAAGACAAATAGGTGTGTGTTTCTTGACTTTGCTGAAGGTAACGATGCTTACAGATTCCTGGACCTTAGAACCAACTCCATCATTGAAGCTCGGGATGCAAAATTCTTTGAGGACAAGTTTATCAAGGATAAAAGTTTATTGCTCAAAGATATACCAGAGAATGCTGGTACATCAGATGCACTAGAGATCATTGAAGCCCGGGATGCAGAATACTTGCTCAAAGATGTACCAGAGAATGCTGGTATGTTAGAAGCACCAGAGAAGTCAGTTTCGTAAGAAACTAAAAGTGTCAATGATGAAGGAGTTACCGAACCACCTTCTAAGCGTGTCAGGAGACTTCATCACCTATAATGTGGAAGGAGATCCACAAACTTTCTAAGAAGCAATATAGTCAACAAGCATCCTTCTGAGGAAAGAAGCTATAGATGATGAGATAGATTCATTGATCTGAAATCACACTTGGGAGCTGGTGGATGTACTTGAAGGTGCAAGGCCTATTAGTTGTAAGTGGATCTTCAAGAAGAAGCTCTGTCCTGATGGTACTATTAAGAAATACAAAGCAAAACTGGCGGCAAAAGAATTCTCTCAGAGAGAAGGAATACCATCAGAGTGCTTATCGCATGAGCGGCGATAAAAAGGTTTGTTATATATCAGATGAATATAAAGATTACCTTTCTCAATGTAGATCTCACAGAAGAGATCTACATGGAAAACTAGAAGGACTTGATGCTCTAACTGGTAAAGTTTATAAACTTGTTAAGTCTCTATATGGACTTAAGCAGACATCGAAACTCTAGCATGAGAAGTTCGATAGGGTTGTTCGTAATAATGTGTATCAAGTTAGTGAATCTGACAAGTGCCTATACATCAAGATCGTTAAAGAAAAGGTGGTGGTTATCTGCCTCTATGTGGATGATATGCTCATCACCGGGAGTGATTTGGAGAGAGTAATATCTACCAAAAAAATTCTTTTGGCACAGTTTAGCATGAAGGACCTTACAACTACGGATGTGATTCTCAGAATCAAAATTATATACTCTGAAGAGTGTATTGGATTTTTCCAATCTCATTATATTGAGAGCATGCTAAGAAAGTATGGCTAGTACGACTAGCTAGAACTGTCAGTACCGTATGATTACAACAATAAGCTATGAGCGAACACTAGAAGACCAGTAGAGCAGCTAAGTTACTCAAAGATCAGTAGGAGTCTTATGTACACAATGAGCTGCACAAGGTCAAACATAACATTCGCTGTAGGAATGCTTAGTAGGTTCACAAGTAATCCTAAAAAGCATCATTGGGATGTTGTTCAAAGATTGATGAGATATTTGAAAAGAACTACATGTCTGGGTCTATTCTACACTAGATATCTGATTGTAATCGAAGGCTATTCGGATGCTAGTTAGTGCTCAGAACCAGATGAGTGCAGATCTACTGGAGGTTTTGTCTTCACCATGGGTGGAACTGCCGTCTCGTGAAAGTCTAAGAAGCATACTATGGTTGCATGTTATCAATGGAATCTGAGTTCTTCACACCCTGTACTGCAAGAGATGAAGCTGAGTGGCTCAGTTGTTTTCTCTGAGACCTTTAATTGACAGAATTGTAAGGCGCAATTACTATCTATTGTGATAATCAGGTAGCGAGTGCTGTGGCAGCGAACTCAATGTTCAATGGAAAGAAGCGGGTCATTCGTCTGAAGCATGGCTATTTGAGAGAACTCATTTATCAAGGAGTCATTTCTGTGATTGACGTCAGGTCTTCAGAGAATGTGGCTGATCCTTTGGCTAAGGGTCTGAAAAAGGATATAGTCGAAAGGACGTTTGCTAAAATGGGTCTCAAAGTTTTATGAGTCTTATAAATACTTACAATGTACATCAAGTTATTAGTTCAAAGCTTATGCTACTAATGATAAGATAATTGGTTCAAGAGTCAAGTAAGATTTGTAAAGTTTGGTGAGTCTTACAAATACTTACCATTTACATCAAGTTATTAGTTTAAAGTTTACGCTACTAAGGACAAGATGATTGGTTTAAAAGTCAAGTAAGATTTACAAGTGAAATCCTATCATGGTATAGATGATGGTTGTTAAGCCTTGATGAGTCCAAAGCATTTCGGATGTGGGCTGTTGGATAGGTAACATGTCTAAAGGACTCACTGATGATCCTATCATGTAAAGGGGATGGCTAATTAAGCCTGAATGAGTCCAAAGCATTTCGAATACGGGGTGTTAGATAGAAAACACACCTAAAGGACTCATCTAGAATCATATCATGAGAGAGGATGCTCTTAAGCCTTAATGAGTTCAAAGCATCTCGGATGCGGGATGTTTGATAGGAAACATGCCTAAAGAACTCACTTATGCCTAGGTGGAGATTTGGCTGTCTCTTATGGTGTCTTGTGAAAAGATACCTAGAGCCCTAGTAGAAACCAGGATATGCACAGGGGCATAAATGTGCAAGGCTAAGGCAAAAGCAAAGGCAAGTGTGGTTTAAAGTGAAAACTACCACATATGAGTTTAATCTTGTGTGATCGTTGGATTTTTAGACATGTGCTGGTTCAAGTCTCTGTGACACCATGCATTTATCTTTTATTCAATTGGTCTAAAGGGGATTCAAGTCCTTACGACATCTACCTTATGCACAACGATTAAAAAAACGGCACCGTTACACGACACTAGTTTAAAAACTTGTTGGGAATTGTTAGATTTTTTTGGTCAAAACTGCTTTCCAAAAATAAGTTTTTAAACTATGTATTTATTAATTACTAGTATTTTTCAAAAATCCTTAGTAACGTAGTATAAAGTTAAAGTTTTGGTGTTTCAAAAGGTCTTGTGTTCGAGGCTTACCAACGACAAACCGAGAATTATTTTTATTCAATTAATCCCTCATAAGTTCTAGTGAATCGTGGGTCGTGAGTTGTGGGCCCGTGGGCTCGTAGGCCGTGGGCTAATGGGCCAGGGATCGGGGTTAATCGGGCTGAGACACTAAGTGACGCTTTGTAAGGCGTACTTTGTACTTCGCACGGAAGTATCAGAGCGGCGTTCTTGGGCGCCACCCTGGCTACCTCGCAGGAGATCTTTGCCTAAACCGAAAGGTTTAACAGATCAACGTGATCTTTGCCTGAACCGATAGGTTTTAACCAAAAGGTTTTTGAACCGTAAGGTTTAATAGATCGATGAGATCTTCGCTTTGACCGAAAGGTCTTATAAATCGATGAGATCTTTATAGTACTTGGTTGGTGCACACCAGTGTACTATACTGTTATTCTTGAAAACAATTTGGCATTGGGATCCTTACACCGGAGTAGCTCAAATATTGCTTTAAGCACAGCGTTTCTTAAACGCACAGCAGCTATATAAACTTAAAAAAGTTTTAAAAATATAGCACTTCAGCTATCTAACAGATTTATCTGTTTTATTTCAGATTTAGCCACAGACATCAACAGTTATCAACTCTCATTGACTTCGATCTTCAACTAAGATTCCTTTGAAGCTTCAATCATCGTTCTCCCAATTGGAACCCTCTCCTCTTATCGCCCATCTCATCAACTATAGCAGAGAGGATAACGAACTTTTTTGAAGCTTGGACAAAGCGTTGAGAGGGGTTCTGAGGAGGCGGAATGAAGAGGGGTACTGCAACAGAGGGACTAGGTTTGGAGGATTCAGGTTGGATGAGAGAAAGGGAATTGATTGAGGGACCAAATTGTCAGAACCCCTAGGATCTGAGGGATTCATGAGCAATTTTAATGATATGAGGGACTAATTTTTAAATAACCCTTAAAGATAATGATCCCCAGCGAAAGAATCCAAATACAACTGCGACTCGCTTTTGATGAAAAAACACACGTGATCTTGTCTTCAAGTCTACCTACAAAATTTTCAAACCTCAAGAACACGTCCAGATTCATTAGTCGTCACTCTCCAATTTTCCAACAGCGAAAAACGAGTCCAGATTCATTGCACTGAATTCACCATAAAATCCCCCCACAAACGCAAGAAAACAAAACAAAAAAAAGGAAAAATCACCCCCCAAAAAAAAAAGAAATGGGTTTACAATTCGAACCCTCCTTCATCCAAGAACCAGAGCACCGTTCAAAGCCCACCATCTCCGACGCCGGAGCCATCCCTCTCATTGACCTCTCCTCTCCTCCTGCAACCCTCATTACCGAGATCGAGGGAGCATGCAGAGACTGGGGATTCTTCCAAGTCATCAACCACGGCGTCCCCTTCGAACTCCTGGAGAGAGTTCAGTCGCTGGCAAAGGAGTTCTTCGCTCTTCCAATGGAGGAGAAGAAGAGGGTTGGGAGAGACGACGAGAACCCGCTGGGCTATTACGATACAGAGCATACGAAGAATGTGAGAGACTGGAAGGAGGTATTTGATTTTTCCGTGGAGGAGCCGGCTTATATTCCGGCGACGACCAAGACCGGAGAGACCAAGTTGCAGGAGATCAGGAATCAGTGGCCAGAGTACCCTCCGGGGATGAGGTAATCCCTACTCTGCTGTGTATGTGTTTTTTTCGTTTCATGTACGTCTCCGAATGCTTGGATGATGTAGAGATGACCCTCCTAGGTTTGGGGTGTTTCAACTTTTTAACTAACCACCCTAATATTATTAGATAAACTGGTAAAATAAATCAAAATAACATTTTTTTTTCAAGATTTAAGACTCCAACTATTAAATGGATAGAACCCCTGCAGCATCATCCAATTGTGAATAGACCCTCGTAGTTCTATTGGTATGGGTAAATCCTATGTAGTTTTATGGGTGCATGTCAACTTATCCAATTACAGGTTGAATCGTCAATAGGCTTTTTTGACTCTTCCTAAGACCCAAAATATTAGTAACGGGAAAGCTATCCACCCTAATAGAACTATAGAGATCTATTCGTCTCTAGAAAAAAAATTTAACTCTTTTGAGAGTAAAAAAAAAAAAACCACTCTCGGCCTATGCACAAAATTAGAACTATAGGGAGTAGTCTATCCGCAATTGGTCCATACTACAAGTACTCCAGGCAATTAACCCTTGTTAAATTAATCACGCAGGGGCACAGATGTAAATATTGTCAAAAAGCCCCGCTTAAGCATTTTGGCCCCCGAGCTGGTTTGGCCATGGCGCAAGCACCCGTATTGAGCGGGTCGACAGCTTTCCCCTCAAAAAAGCGTGTCGAAACGCGAACGTGAGGCGGAACGGGGACCAAGGTTGTGAACACGGTCTCAAACTTGACTCCGACCTCCGACCTCATCTAATGCCTCCTCCCCTTCCCTCAACTTGTGACCTGTCTTTAACCTCCAACCTCACCCACCGTCTCCTCCCCTCCAAAAATGGACTTGAGGTTGTTTTTCCCCCTCCTCCTTAAGCCCGCTTAAGCCCCAAAAAGTCTAAGTGGCAGCTCGCCACTCCTCTCCTCTCCGCAACCTTGAGCAGGAGCATCTTGATCCAAATTGAACCAAACATGACCAAACTTTGTTGGTTGTGTCATACTGATCTTAGAGTTCTTGTTCACTCTACTGCCAACAACCCCCAAGGCGAAAACCGCTAGGTAGTTTCTCCCTGTGCATGTAACAACCACTAGACAAAAGCTGCTAGATAATTTCACACTGTGCATGCGAAAACTAAGGTTAATTGCGGATAGACCCCATGTATAGACTCCACATCTGCTATCAAATTTACTACCTCCCTAATTTTACTTTTGCAGATCTACCCCCTGAGAAAATTGTATTTGATACTTCTACCTCAAGGGGGTCTCTTCGCTAAAAAAACAATGTTTTTATCAGGGTGAAGAGTCAAAAAAAAAATTCACTTTGAGGTCATACCTGCAAAATAAAAATTGAGGGTAGTAAGTTGGAAACAACAGGGTGGTATGCAATTAACCCAAAAAAAACTACGTACGTAATGGAAAGTGGTGGTTCAAGAATAGAAGAACCCTCTATGGGTGCCTTCATATCCAAATACTCTCTCCACTGTATAGTTTCTCCTATAGGAGATGATCATTCATGCTAAAATATTTTTCTATGTGATAAGTCTGTCTTCAAGTTATGCAAAGATTAACAGTCTAACACTATGCAGAGAAGCTTGTAAAGAATACCAAAAAGCCATGGAGGACCTATCATTTAGACTGCTCGAGCTCATAGCACTGACTTTAAAGCTCCCATCCAACCAATTTAACGACTTCTTCAGAGACTCGACCAGCTTCACCCGCCTCAACCACTATCCTCCATGCCCGTCCCCTGACCTTGCTCTTGGCGTTGGCCGCCACAAGGACTCAGGAGCATTAACAGTCCTCGCACAGGATGATGTCGGTGGACTTGACGTCAAGAGGAGGTCCGATGGCGAGTGGGTTCGCGTCAAGCCCATTCCCAACTCCTACATCATCAACGTCGGTGATATTATCCAGGTATATATATATAGGATCATAAGGTTAATTACAGCCTCACGCCCTTAACTTGCAAATAATCAACTATGTCATATTTTGATATTAGTCCCTCAAATTTTCAATGACTCCATCAAAAATTGCTCATACGTCCCTCAAATCTTAAGGAATCTTGCAAATTTGCACCTAAATGATCAAAAATTTCTTGAGCTTGTTTTATCCTCCAAACACCCTAAATACCTCTTTGTTCACAAAACCATAAGCTGGAGGTAATTTGGTCATATTGAGGGACCAGTTAAAATATACCCCATATGATTTGAGGGATGGGGGCACACTTTCAAATATTTGAGGGTCTAAAAAGGAATTATTGAAGATTTGAGGTTCTGGTCACGATGAAAATGTTACTGTTCCATCAGTTTTCAAACTCATACGAAAATTATATGTGATGGTCAGAGTTAGGTATTTGTGAGAAACATTCCTACCTGATTCCCACAGGAGTTTTAAAACTGACGGAAAAGTAGCATCGCTGACGTGGCCCGTGAGTAGGAGGTTTACAAGATAATAGAATAGAATGCAATAAGTATTTAAACCCTCCTCATAGTACAGAACATGCAAATTATATTTTAATGTGCAATAAATTGAAATATAACCTCGAGTTGTATTGGTATTTCTGGATCACTGTAGGTTTGGAGCAATGATAAGTACGAAAGCGCGGAGCACAGGGTGTCAGTGAATCCGAAGAAGGAGAGGTTCTCGTTCCCCTTCTTCTTCAACCCTGCACATTATGCCATGATAAAACCTGTGGATGAACTTATCAGTGAGGAGAGTCCTGCAAAGTATGATGAGTACAATTGGGGACAGTTCTTTAAGATGCGCAAGAACAGTAACTTTAAGAAGTTGGGAGTGGAGAATATTCAGATCCATCATTTCAAAATGAATTGAGTGATATAGTATAGGCTCTTTTGGTTGCGTGAGCATGCATCTAGAATAAATATGTAGAAGACCTCTTCTATCCTAGCATATGATGAACAATGTAATGTTTTTGGAGGCGCATGAATGCAAATAAATAAGCTGTGAGAATCTTTGCTTGAACTCTTTTCACATATGCTATACCCTCCCATTGAGCATATCATGTACTGAGAAGCAGCAAAAAACATTTATTAAGAACCAGAAGAAATCTGGCAACATGGAGACATAACTGTTTGCAGAAGGGAGCTGTAAATTATGCAAGATCATAATGTTGTGGATATCACACAAATGTATACATACACACATACGCGCATGAATACGGATAAGGAAAACTAAAATGATCCATGCGTGATTCATGAGAAAAAGATAGATATATCTCAAGATAATATCAGGCTTATGATCTCTTTATGCTTTGCTTGCAATAGCTTGACAACACAAATATCTTTTACTGATTTGCAACACTACAAAAATATGCAACCGTTGTGTTAGCTCCCTTCCACCAATTAATTTTATTCGTAGAATATGTGAAACTAAAGCATTATTGACATTCGTCAGTCATCTTATATCACCCTCTAAAACGTTGGTGTCAATATCAACACATGAAAACCACATATTCAAATCGCACGAACATGAAAATAAAACCAGTAGGAAAACAAGCAGAATCATGTATTAGAACTCTAAATAAAACCAGCAGAGAAACAAGTAGAACCATGCATTAGAACTCTCAATTTACCATCAAAAATGCATACAGAGAAGCAGCAGAGAAAGAAGCAGAAGAAATATGGGAACACAGGAACATATCTATTTGCAGAAGTGAGGTAGTGTTTCATAGATCGATAATGTCATGGTTTGAATATACATACGTAACATACATATACATGTTTGTTTGCAAAAATGGGTAGTTGACCAAAAGATCAATAATGTTTTGTGTACAGAACAGATTATTGATCTTTCAAAAGAATATTTCAGTTATACACACTTACTACATAAATACATAAACACACAGGAATGGAGAAACAAAATGCAAGGAACATGAAAACAGGAAAGGGTTGAACCTCTTGGGCCAATACCACATCTAATAAAAGTCTGAATGTTTACCTGATCAATTGAAAGGAACCACAGTTCTCTCCGACAGTGCTTAGGCTATCAATTGAGAGGCAACTATTCAGGTATACATTAACCTCTTTTCACAACATACAAGAGAATTCATGTACAATTACCAAAGGCGGTGTGTGTTCCTATGTAATACATTATCCACAGACCAAAAAATTAATGGTACGCACAACATACAGGATTATATGATTTCCACTTTGACTTCCACTAGACTAGGACACTACAGGAAAAATCTATTTTGCTACCAGTTCGCATCCAATGTTAAAGCCTCAGGAGGGAGAACGATAGAAGGTATCTCGGTGAATGAGATGTTCGACATCAGATTACTCCATGAACTAGATTCCACTGCCCGAACTGGCCTAGTTAGCTTCCTGACTAACATCTTTTTCCACCCCTTTCCTGCTTCAACTCTAGCCACCATCTCAAACCAAATGCGTTCAACAACTGGCTTCGTCCTCCATTCTTCTACCCTGCTCCATATCCTATCATTTTCTGTAATGTCTCTCTCCACTTCCAATCTAAACTTTACCAAGTTTGATGATGTAATTTTTGCTTTTAAGAGCCGCACAGGCCCGCCACGTAACATATTGCTCCCTAGCAAGTCCTTTAAGGCTTTCTCTATTATAAGGAACTTAGATTTAAGCGAGCCGGATGCCCATGAAGGAACCTCTTTAAATTTCCCATTGTTGTAACGCTTCTCTGATAGCAACTCGATAGTGTAATCAGTGTGGAATACTGTTTTGATATGAGCTTCAGGGTTTCGCGTATTTAATGCAACTATCAAGGGGGACCCTTCAACTTGAACAGAAAGTAACGGGGCACATGAGTCAAGGCCAAGAGGCCGAAATTGGTTGCTCTCCAACTTAGTTTTGACCAAACATCTTTCTAATGACAAACCTATGTCATGTGGGTGGAAGAGAGTGATCTTTTGAGCAACCTCTACTTTAATTGTAATGCCATCACCAACAAGTATCCTCCTTACGTATCCATGTGTGAAGTTCAGCTGCATGCCAGCAGATTATGTTTTTTTTTCAGATGCTAAATCAATAAAACAAAATGACAAAATGCAGCTAAGTTGCCAGATCATGAATGAGAAAAGAAACCATAACCATTTACCAATTAAAAGTTAAGGCAAACAAAAGAACAAAACTATATAATCCTTTACCACTTGAAGCATGAAAACTTGTCATGCTTTGACGTGTTAAACATGCATATATTGGACAGAATACTTAATTTTCATGTGAAACTTTCAGAATCATTCAACAGGTGTGTTGTTGTAGAGTGTTATGCCCAGTCCTATATGTGTCTGTGTATCTGTGTCCATGCAACATTTTCTTTTTTATTACGATATACTAACTTCCATGTATCTAACCTTGAACGCTTAAAAACTATTAGGTTCAATTGCATCATCAAACTTGCATCTCTACCCAAAACCAATGATAACATCATCTCAATTCTCAGCCCAATGAAAACCCCTAGTCCTCATTCTTCCGGCTAAGTTGACCCTTACAAATTCAACCCCTCAACAACATCAAAATGACCAACCAAGCTATGCTTGCATCTCTCAACCTACGAATCACATGCCATAAAGTTTCACAAAAAAGGAGGGCAGTTTTTTTGAGGTAGGGGAGGGAGAAGAGGGGGGGGGGGGGTTGAGAAACAGAGTAATTCAAAATTCTCTTATCCACCTATCCATTGCATAAACCATAAACGAATTTTCCTCCATAACTTTTCCTCGAAAAATGACATGATATTGCATAAGCTAAGCTCACTAGAGGAATTTAAGTAGCCTGGCAGCTTTAACTTTTGAGAAAATAGCAACTAATAAGATTAAAATTAACATAATAATAGAAGGTACCTAAAAGTTCAATCTTGCATGACATCAGTAGAGGACTAATAGAAAGCTTACAAAAAGACGAGAAAAGACGAGACAAGAGGGTGTTTGGGAAAGCTTATTTTTTGTCATTGTAGCTTTTAAACTAGCTTTTCCATATCTATATGTTTGATGACATCAAATAAGCTAGCTTTTAAGCCTAATTTATAATTCCCTAACTTTTAAAAACATAGGTTAGAAGCTCATCTAAATAAGCTAGGTGACCAAGTAACCGACTTTTCTACCCATAAAAACGTTTTTAAAAATTTATCATAAAAGCCAAAAGAACCAAAACCTAGAACAAGCTACACAACTTATGAGCTTAAAAAAAAGAATAAAAAGCCCTTCCAAACACCCTCTAACTATGTTTTATTTTTTTAATAACTATTTTGAATTGAAGCTTGAATGGCACTAACGTTGTCTACATTGGGTGCCTAGCTAAATAACAGTTCAAAAAGCCTATGCCTGAACCTGAACCACACCGCAAGAAGAAACCTTGCTAGAATGCATTGATGAGTTTGAGAACTGATTCCAGAATGAGAAGGTTCTGTTTGACACAGTAAAGTGGGGATCTAATGGTTGCATTTCATGATAGTAGCTAAACTGAAGAAGAGATACCCTACTAGAACCAAGCAAAAATTCAATGAAAAACTCAAAATGTCACAAACTAATATAATTGCAGATCATCAAGAACGCTAGAGAAATAAAATAAGAAAGCTGGGAATGGAATGGAGGACTCAATTCAAAAAGTCAAGGAATGTGATGAACTAATTCATAACACAAGAACATAAAAAAAGAGAATAGAGATGGTCAAGCATAGTAGGTAGCACATAAATGACTAAAAAAACCTCTCTTACGCCCCCTGCAAATGCCCATGCCTATCCTATTTTACATGTCAATCATTTTTTGGATGTTGTATCATGTATGCGCACTGATTGTGTGGATTCAATGAGAGGGCGACTTTGATTCCACTCTTAGAATTAAGAAGCAATATATTAGGCCCCTGCTCCACGTGTTCTTGTAGACAAATTCAAGGTAGAAGAGGCAGCCAATTTGGGGACAATTTCTTTGTTGTACATAAAACACAAGTCAAGTAGCATATTATAGTATTTAATTATACTATATTACTTGATCATCCACCATTTATTCAAATTTTGTATTGCCCCCATTTGATTTTGATATTACAGTTAGCGCTAGGAGCTTGTCTCGAGCCTATGCGGAATTTTTTTTTTTAACCAGAGTTGGAGGAGATTTTGCTGAAGGTTAGAGAAGGTGGAGGTGTTGGTAGAGAAGGCCAGGGAAATTGGAGGAAATGGAGGTCACAATAGGGGAAATCAGTCCACCATATAACTTTTGCAGTCTGCATAACCTAGGTTCCTTTAGGCACTCCCAAAATCTAGGAGGGCGACCTAAGTACTGCCTAGGCCTAGCTAGGAGCCTAGATGGGAGCCCAGTTTGCTTTTTAGATCTATGAGTTTCTCACATAATAGCCAGACCAAAATGTTTCATCTAGATCATAATTGTATTAATATTTATTCAATTTGCTTTTTAAATCTATGGGTTTCTCATATAATAGTCTGACCAAATCTTTTTATCTAGATCATAATTGTACTAGACTACATCGTACACTCAAATATTTCAATCCAGATCCAGATCGTATTTGAATAGATTGTATGATAAAAAATTATCAATACATAATAAATGGCCAAAGCCTTATATCATGTGTTAGATTGTATGATCAAAAAACAACAAGACAGACTAATCACATGCGTAGATTGTGTGATTAAACAAAAAACACAAGAATCAACTAACATTATTACAAGATCATACCAAATCCCATAACCTGACACAAGACAAACATATCCACATCACAAGAGCAAATCTTAGATAAAAACTTATATAGCACAAACCAGATCCTAAATCAAATATAGACACACTTATTGGCTAACACAAGAACATGTCCTAAATCAAACTCGGATACGAAATCATCAATCACTAGACCGTATACACAACTATTATGACATTGTTATGAAACGACTCATCTATAGCTCAATTACGCCCACCAAAGGTGGATGAAGAGGAAACATTGAGCACTCCGAGAAAGAAAGCCTTTATGATGATTTTGCTAATCTTTCCTATGTAGTCGGTCGTGAGCAACAAGATCATCCATGATGTGAATGTGCTTCAAGCACTTCCAACACTGATGCTTAATACACATCAAAGAAATGTCGAAACGTGCGCAAAACGACTAAACAAGACCAAAATCAAGAAATCGAAAAGACCTAGCCACTTCGACGTGACCCGCACTCATGATAGCCACCTCGATGTGACTCTCACTCATGCTAGCCACCTCGACGTGACCCGCACTCATGCTAGCCACCTCGACGTGACCCGCATTCATGCTAGCCACCTCGACGTATAAACGTCATCACCTGAGCCAAACGAGATTATCTGGTGCCGTAAAAGTTCTAAAGAGTGCACAAAACAAGTCAACAAAGCGTACGAGTCAACGAGACGACGAAATGCGCAAAACAGCGGAATAAGACCAAACCGGAAAGTCCAGAGAAGCCCCTGGCAGCCGAGTCGCATCAAAACGACTGCACAGTGCCGAGCCACCCTAGGATGGCTCGCGCCCAGAAACGCCCAAAACGCGTTTTCGACGATATTCTCGGGATTCTTTCGTTCCAGAACTCCCCAACTACTTTGATATTATCCCTAAACGTGGTTAAGTGGTTATTAACTAAAAATATGACAAAATCACTTGTTCTTATCCTAAAACGCCGCATCCAAAGTCTATAAATACAAGCCTAGGGCTCCTATACACGGAGGATCTGAAATTAGAGGCGAGGTGCTGTCAAATTGGAGAATGAACCACGAATTTCAGAGGAGGGATAGCGAGATCTTAGCGAACTCCAGTATAAAGAGGGACTATTCGAAGGATCTGATGCCCATTTCATCATTCCTTGATATCATAATTTATTTTGATCTGAGGAAGAGTAGTAATCTCACCTCGTTGAGATTATTTACTTATGCGATTATTTCCTTTGTGAAACAAGAGCATTGAACTTTCGTTCTGTCAACCGGATCTGATCCGCGACGATCCACGGATAAAAGCATACCCGACACGGGTAAAGATCTCACGCAAACATCGGGTGATAAACATCCTCTGTATGTGTTTCTAGAGAGTTGTATTTTTCTTATTTTTATTGTGTAAGAAATTCTTATAAAAGACTAATTTTACTTTGAATCTGTAATCAATAAACGTGTAATGGATTCGGCAATGAAAACAAGTTTCGAAGCAAACAATGGGCTTGAGAGAAAAGATCGGGATTTGGAGATCTGATGGCCGAAGGGGGAAATGTCAAGGGGACTATGCTTTTATAAGCACTTACAATTTTTGATGCGGAAAAAGCCAAGATTTTTAAGTTTTAAATTTCACTCATGCTTACTATTAACGAAGGATCTTATTTAACATGCGGCCTAATAGTTCTTGCGGAGCAAGGAGAGTAACCTTGTTCTAACGAAGTTTGTGGTTGCTTTGGCTGTTAACGTGTAGAATCCAACTATGCAAGACGTGTATAAAGTAACTAGTTAAGTCAGGTGGCTATTAATTTTACAAAGTGGGTCTTCGAATTTTGAGCCTTTTTAATAAAAAATTTCAAAAATAAACCCTCCCATTACCTAATTTGCAAATAAACTCCAATTTTCTATCCCCTCTACTAACACTAGCCTCCGGCTAACCATCACTAGCAGCTGCCATCACCCTCTCGCTCTATCTACCTCTCTCCTGCCCAAGGTTATCGATAGCGGAAAGCGTCGCGTAGCGGTGAGGCATCGCTAAGACTATTCGGACTATTGCGGCAAAATAACGGTAAAAAATGCAAAGTTAAATAGCGGTCTAATTTAGATATGTATAAATACTAAAAAAAAATTTAAAAAAATCTAAGAAATCTAAAAGTACATGTTGGATGATTTAAAGAGATCCTAAACATGAAATAGACATGTAACCATCACGTAATACTGAAGATGACTGGAGGAGTCAAAAAGTCGTCGTCTTCGAGAAGAAGAGCTTAGCGGTGACAGGACTACCCTAAGAGGAGCTCACGGTGAAGGATGTGAGAGGAAGTATC